AGATGTGATGAACCTCACCCCACCAAAGTCAGATGGTGAGAGTACCACCCACAGTCGTTCTAGGAAGTGGACTCTGACACTAGAAACTAAACACGTAGTACATGTACTGTATTTTCTTTATTAAATAAAATTTGTAATCTAATTTTGTAAATCTGGGAGTGCTTTAAATATGATGTTAAAACAGGGTTTTATGTCGTTACAAGTGGGTTTTTTTTAACATTATCTAGTATAGTAAAATCATGATAAAAATAGATAAAAATTTGACATTATATTAGGGTTGTCATTACACCCGATGACGTTATAATTGGATTAAACTATACTTTGTTTTGCTATTGAAGCATATATGTTGCATTGTATTCTGAGTATTCCTTAGCAACTTAATGTGCTTTTTATCTATGGATAACACCTCCAGCTTTGTACTTGACCTTCAATACCCTTTAAAACCAACTGCACTTCTACCTGTTGGCAATTTGGCAAGTCCCATGTATGACATTTTACAAGCAATTCTATTACTTTCTTTGCAGCTTTGATCCATCTCTGTTGCTCATGAACAGGCAACTTATCTAAATCATGCCATGTTTCTGTTTCAGGAATTGGTGCAGTTTGAACAATTTATGATAAGTGTTTTGTGGAATATCTTTATTTTTCCTGGAAGATACTCAAATTGGAGTCCAATATATTGTCAGTAGTTGCAGCCAAAGTTCTTTTATCTTGGCTTTTCTTTTCTTCATTTATATCCTGTATCTTCAATTGCTCTTTCAAATCTGTATTTGTATAGCTTTCTTCAATAATAAGTCCTCAAGTCAAACTATTTCTGGAACAATTTCCATCTTCATTGTCAGAGAATTTTAATTTATAATGATACTCCTGCTCATTGACTTTCTTAGTTTCTGAAAACAAAATTCTGTAACCTTTCTATGTTTTGCTATATCAGCTTAAAATTCTTTTCTTGACATGAGCATCCCACTTTGTGTGTCTTTCTTTTGGAATGTGTGCATAGGCCTTAATTCCAAATGCTCTTAAATATTGCAGATTTAGCTTCTTTCACAGTTTATGGTGTTTTGCCAATGGTTCTACTAGGAAGACAATTTTGAATGTAGCACACTGTTGATATCACTTCTCCCCAATAAGTTTTAGGAAATTCAGCCATCATTGCAGTTTGAAGTTTTTATATTGTATTTTAGTATGTATGTTTTGAGACTTGCTAATTTTGATATCATTAATCAACTAATAACATTATCCATGATTACAATAGACAACTCTATTGTACTTACTTATCTGTGTCTTCAGAGTGCAAATATTTTAGGGTTTATTGGATAAATTGCAGATACAAGTTCTAGACCTTGACAGTTTAAAACTCATTAAAGTCACATATAACAAATTATCACATTGCAAGAATGACTTTTTATCTATAGATCTTGGTTTAGATGACAATTACAAACCAGTTTTTATACCAATTCCCTAGACTAGCTCAATTCATTAGCAAGACTAAGGTGTCTTCATGTTGGGAAGAGTAAGAATTATAAAGATATTTGACAAGCAAAAGCTAAGAACATTGGAAGTAATGAAGATCTATAATGCAAAAATTTGGGACAATTGCATTAATTATGAAGATAGTAAAACTCTATGGCTAGTTTGGCAGTCTCTACTCAACAACCCAAACTGCATAAGCAACTAACTAATTACAAAAGCGTATCTCTAAACCTTTTACTGGTGCGCGTATCATCTCACTCTATAACAGTTACAAACATTTTCAAACCGTTACGGTTCTTCTTCAGGTGATCCCCTAACGAAATGCAGTTCAACGATGTTACGAAATACGATCCGAAATGATGTCCCGACCCGATGACGTCACTACGGACTTGCGCGTTATGCATGGTGTGCTCTATTTTAGCGATTTATCTATTAGGGCCTGCCAGGCCGTCAATAGAGCGATTTTGTCCTTGTAGTTAATGCAATAACGTCCTTCACTCATGTTTATGCATATGTATATCGCCTCGCTCTATCGACGGCCTCTACCAACGAAATCGCTCTATCGAGGGCCTGGCAGGCCCTAATAGATAAATCGCTAAGATAGAGCACACCATGCATAACGCGCAAGTCCGTAGTGACGTCATCTGGTCAAGACATCATTTCGGATCGTATTTCGTAACATCGTTGAACTGCATTCCGTTAGGGAATCGTCACCTGAAGAAGAACCGTAACGGTTCGAAAACGTTTGTAACTGTTATAGAGTGAGATGATACGCGCACCGGTAAAAGGTTTAGAGATAAGAGTTGTGTTACATTACTACGGTGCTGATATTCCAACATTTGTTAATTACAAAAGGTCCATTGTGCATAATTTTTATTGTATTTCATGCTAATTTTATTTTTGTTATTTCTTTTACTTGTTTCAATATTTATTCTATATTTAACATTGTACAACCCCTAGCAAAAAGTATTTGAACCAGATGTAAGAAAATAAAATCATTTAGTTTGAGCTCATTTTACAAGAAAATAAAAATGTAATGTTCAAAACAAAAATAAACATTTTATTCATTGAATTATTAAGTATTAATCACTTTAATTTCAAATAAATAAACCAAACCATTTTCCCAAAAAATAAATTACTGCATTATGTAAAAGTTCTATCATTTAAACATATAACACTTACATACATCAGAACTGAAAGTCAATAAATTTTTTGCTTCTGTTTATATAAAATTAAAAAAAAAATTTGCTTACATAATGGAAATGACTTTGCATTACTGATAAAATAAAAATAATATTGTGTTTTCAATTTTTTTATTTTTTATCCTTTTCAAATGATAAACAATAATAGTTTATTTCTATCTTACTTAAAGATATTTTTTGATAAAATTTCTCTCTTTTTGAAAGTCTAATTTTAACTCATCCAGAATTGAAAATTTAGGTAAATAATGAATACAGTAAAAAGTTGATTATCTGAAAATCAATTGAGGACTTCTATGAAAAAAATAGGATAACTGCAGTTATTCCATTTTTGTTACCAAGCTCTTTGTGTGAAAGGTACTTGGCATAAATCGGAAATTGGAATTCTCACATGCACCGCTAGATAGACCCATTTCTTCATGTAGGAGCACAGTTTGTTTCATTCCATCTCTGGAAATTAATGGCCCCACACAGAATTTTTCTACAGTTTTGTTTCTTGGTGATGTTATTTCATTATACTGTATTCATTTTAATGTGACCTATTAACTTGAAAATATTTGAATAACTTTAATAAAATGGATTTATCAGATTTATATACATCTGAGGAGGAATTAATAGCTGAAAACATAAAAAAAGAAAGGGGAAAGCCATGCCATAGCCATAGAAATAAAGCAAAGATAAGAAGAAACAAGGTTTATGTTGTTTATTAACATTATGACTTTTGTATTATGTATCAAACAATCCATATTAAGTTGTATTTTTTTATTAGGGGCAAAAATATTCCAGAAATGGTAATAAACATATCAAAGGTAAAATATTTGCTGTCTTTATTAAATACTGCCAGAAGGAATGCTTTAAGAAGCTTTCTCTATACTGTCAGACATTTTTTAAAATATTTTTGGAATAAGTTAGTTAACTATGACAAACATAATGTTTTTATTTCCTCAATGACATGATGTTTGCAACCCAAAGTGTGTCTACAAAATCCAAAAATACAACATAAGAGCTGCACTTTGAAATGTCATGTAACTTGTGAAAACAGTAAAGTTACAGGTTACTTTTCTCATTAAATTTATGCAAATTACAAAAAAAAAAAGGATTGAAGTGATAGAATATACAATACGAGGGCTGTTCGGAAAGTTCGCGGCCTTGCCTATATGCGGCGCTGCGATCAATTTAATTTTTGGCGGGAATAATTCAGCCATCTTTGCTAAAGATACGATACCAATTTCCGCTTGATTTGTCAAAAAGTTTTGCCACGTCAGCTTAGCAGATAGTCAGTGTGCACATGCTTTGTCAAAAATGGAGAAGACGGAGACTCGTGCGGTCATAAAATACCTGACGAAAAAAGGGTTGACCCCATCTCAAATCAAAGATGACATGGATGAAGTTTTAGGAGAGTCTGCTCCTTCGTACACCACTGTGAAAAATGGACAGCCCTTTTTAAATCTGGCAGAGAAAGTGTGGAAGATGACCCTCGCAGCGGACGGCCGTCAACTGCTGTCACTGAAGAAAACATCGACAAAGTTCATGATTTGGTATTAGCAGATCGCCGTTTGAAAACGTGTGAGATAGCTGAGACAACAGGCATCTCTGTCGACCGAGTGCACCACATCCTAACCGAAGATTTGGGTATGACGAAGGTTTCAGCAAGGTGGGTGCCGCATCTGCTGACCGCCGAGCAAAAACGTGTTCGCACTTTGATGTCAAAGGAGTGTTTGGACTTCTACCAGAAAAACCCACAGGATTTCTTGCGTCGGTTTGTAACTACTGACGAAACGTGGATCCATTACTACACTCCTAAAACAAAAGAACAGTCGAAGCAATGGAAACACCACAGTTCGCCACCACCAAAGAAGGCAAAGACAGTTCCATCAGCGGGTAAAGTGATGGCCTCGGTTTTTTGGGATGCTAAAGGCATCATCTTTATTGACTACCTAGAAAGAGGAAAGACCATTAATGCTGTCTACTACTGTGAACTTTTGGAAAGAAATCGACGAAAAGAAGCCACGCTTGAAGAAGAAAAAAGTTCTGTTCCACCACGATAATGCACCTGCACATTCCGCCAGAATCACTGAACAAAAGATAAACGAACTTCGCTTCCAATTAGTTCCACATCCACCGTACTCACCTGATTTGGCCCCCAGTGACTTCCACCTTTTTCCAAACCTAAAAAAATTCTTGGCTGGAAAGAGATTCCACTCAAATGACGAAGTCATCTCTGAAGTGAACGAGTATTTTGCATACCTTGACAAATCGATCTATTGTGATGGCATAAAAAAGCTAGAACATCGCTGGAATAAGCGCATTGCTAACAGAGGAGATTACATTGAAAAATAAAAAAAGTTTTAACATTATTTTGTTTGTTTTTCTATGTGAGGCCGCAAACTTTCCGAACAGCCCTCGTATTGGCTGGAAATATTTATAAGACAAACAAGGGAAACACGACAAACAGTCCTAGCATGATTACTGGTGACATCTAGAATTTGTTGGATATTATGTTCGGAGAGATCCCTTCTTCAACTGCCCCTTATTTACATTCAAAAAAACAGGAAAAAAATATTTTTCTAATTCCAACTTGAATGTTAAGAAACTTTTTACAATGTTTTAAGATTATTATGCTACAGTTACTGGGAAAGTTCTAGATTTGTCTTATAAAATATTTGCTGCTCACTTTCAGAAGTACAGTGGTGCCTCATACAACGTACTTAATCCGTTCCAGGTGCACGTCCGTTAAGTGAAACGTCCGTTATACGAAAAGCATTTTCCCATAGAAATACATGTTAAAACATATAATTCGTTCCGCAAGCATAAAATAACCGTACTGTATCATAAAAATGAAAATGGAGCAGACAGCCAATTATGCCGGGTAGTCAGATGTTGTGAGGAGGAGGTGGAAGAACACTTTCTTTACACATTCATACAGATACAGACTTTTTACACATTGCAGCGGGTCTTTTTTTTATTGTTTTTTTAATCGGAGTCAGATTCAAGAGAGGCTACTGGAACTTGCAGGGTCAACTCCTCTTGTTCCATCCTTTGTTTTTTGGCAGCTTGCTTCTTGAAAAACATGTCCAAAGTGGTCAACTCCTCTTGTTCCATCCTTTGTTTTTTGGCAGCTTGCTTCTTGAAAAACATGACCAAGGTGGTCTGTTTCTCTTTCTTCTTTAAAACCTGTCGGAAATGACGGACAAAGGTGTCATCGTAGAGATCATTCATCCTGTTGGCCTCAGCTCTGTTTGGATAATGAGTGTTGGTAAACTCCTGAACCTCTCCCCATTCATTATAAATGACTTAACTTGCCAGATTATATGATACGAATAATTCTTTATTAATTAAGATCACTAAACACTTCTACGAGCTACTCTCGCTCCATTTGTTTTTTACAACCTCTTTTCGTCCCGCCACCTCGACATCTACACAATTACATTTCATTTATTTGAATCGTCAACATATACTGTATTACATTACATTTAATGTTTATTTAAATCATCAACATATATTACATTACATTTATACTTCAGATATACTAATAATACATTCTAATAATACTAATATATCCTAAAAATAGCAGATTGTCATTGGCAACGGCTAAAAAGTGGAAACATCATTTGCACTTGTTCGAAGAAAGTCCATTGTTCGTCTCATGTAACTGCCGAACGGAAAGTCCGTTGTTCACAGCAAGTCCATTGCTCGAGTCACGTAACGGTCAAACAGAAAGTCCATTATTCGCAGCATCCGTTATTCGAGGCGTACGTTATACGAGGCACCACTGTATAGTAAATATGCATTTCATCTACCTAGGTCAGACATATGTAGCCTATGTTTCAAAATGGAAAATCAAGTAGTTCTTTCAAATGAAGAAAAAAAAAACATATGAACCTCACAAATGTAAATATAAGGAGATCAAAAATAGCTATCTGAAAAGGAGCAGTGATAACATTATTATTGAGTTTAACTACAAACAAAATTTACCCTTAGCTAAACTCCCTGTAACAGAACAGTTCTACTTGTGTCTTCTGTGGCATTTTGTGTTCAATGTGCATGTACACAGTAATAACAACTCTTAAATGTTCCATTTTTTGGAAGATCCATTTTCCAAAATTTTTCAAAGGTGCCAACAGTGTTTCTTGCTTCCTGCATCACGTTTTAATATTTAAAGTTATGGAAAGAAAAAATACTGTATTATTTTCTGATTCTGCAAGTAGTCAGAACCAAAATTGGATTGTCATACAGATTTTTGTCATACAGGACTACACTTTCAAATATTGAAATATTCCACATATTTTCTGTAAGAGCCATTCCTACTAACAGTGCAACAGAAACTGTCTATTACAGTAAAGATAAGAATACTAAAGAAACACTGAAAGTGTCAAGTGAATATATATATATGCATGATTGAGAGTTTTTGTTATGACCCATTTATAATAGTTAAAAGCAAAATAAAAGATTGTGAGCTAGCACTATTATAAGAAGCCAAAGGAAATGAAAAATTCAAAAGCAGTAGCTGTAAAATATCAACCATCGGATATGATAATTATGTTTTATAACTATAGCATGGTTTCTAGTGTGTCTGAAAACAATTGCAAGAAATCAGTAGGAAACGTAATACTGCAAGTTCAAACCAGAGTAGGAGTTATAGAAATAAGAAAAGAGATGTGTTGAAATTTCTTATGTATCTCAGTGAAGAGGGGAGAAAATTCTAAACCAACTATTTTAGAACTGGTAATTCCAAAGAAAAAGAATCTGATATATTCATTGGTAATGTGGTAAAAGAATCCAATATCGATTGATCATGAGTGCTCATCTTTTGACTGTCCATGCCTGAGGATAGCCTGTCAACCAGGTCAAAAATGTGTTCTTTTTCAAAACTCTCACTGTTAAAAGTACATTAAGTAATTCAGTTAAGTTACCACAATGGCTACTGCATTTTTATCTATAATACAATTGTCTGCAATTTTCCCAAAGCCTACTATCAAGCTAGCTCATTATCAACATTAGTATTAGGTTTAATTTATTATTACAATACAAATAGAAAAGTACAATTAATAAGTCACAGGCTTTTAATGTATCAAATATTTCACTGTGCCTAGACACAGTAAAGCATTTGATGTATTAGAAACAGCATTGACATAGAAATGCAACCCTAAACAGATTTTACAATGACCCAGGGATTTAACAGTTAAAAAAAAATACTAGGATATGTAAAACAAAGCAAATAAACACATTTATTAGTTATTTTAAAAAAAGAACTGTAATATATAATTTTTACATTAGTAGTATATTTTATTTCATACTAATTTTACTATTAGGTACTTTTTACTTTGAATTCAAAGTTTCATCAATGCATTGTACAGTACATTACAATGAAAGACTAGTGCTTGTTTTTAATAAATTAAACAACTTTTTTATTCTTTCATATCTTACATATTTCTATGCCTTAACTTTTTTTTACTGTCGTACTAGAATTAAAATTAATATTTTTGCTTTATTTAAGGTACATATCTTTCATTACTTTCCTACTGACTACGACTGGTTATCCAGACTGGATAATAAACAATCTACTGTAGTATCTAAAATCTCAACTTTGAATAATTTTCAAATATTTTGAATTATGTAAGCAATCAATTAAAACATCATCACATTCAAATATTTTAAAAAATTTTATAATTTATAACCACAATACTAATCTATCAGTATGTTTTAGAGGGCTGTAGAATGGTAACTGCAGGGCTTATTTAAAACATGTACTGTACATCAACTCAAACAGTCTGATCAATTTAATTCATAGCAGAGTATCAAGTATTAATACTTTAAAGCAATACCTTGTAATCTTAACTGTTTCTTTCATGTGATCTTTGTTGTTTTTCTTATGGATAAAGATAAACAAGAGAGACAAATTTTAGTAAACTTTTGATAAGATCACAAATGACTTGCCTATCAACAAATAGTTTATCCATATTAAAGGTGCATATTCTATTTATAAAATAAAAGTGAAATTATAGGAGCAGAGTAAAAAAGAACTTTTCTCTCTTTTACTCGAAATTACTCACCAATTATTCATATCGAGAAAGAAAGCACAACCAGCAGCATTTAGTTGATCTCCGAGCAATTTTTGCAATTCAGATATTAACACATCTCTATCTGTAGTTGTCAAACAACTGAACTGTTGGAGTAAGCCTCCTTCAATGTCACTATCAACTTCCATTTTTTACACTCGCTTACAGTTTTTATAACTTAAAATACACAACGACCGTTCTTGATCTACTGTTTATTTCTTAAAATGATCATCATCACCTTATCGCCATCTTGTCGTATCCCAGAACAACAAATGACATCATCAGAAAAGTCGAATCCGCCACCTAACTTTAATCCTGGAAAAAAAAACGAGCAGTTGAAAATTTTATTGTTAAATCTTTATTACATTAACTTCAGACTTGTTTTAATATTAATATGTGTATAAATATAAAGCTACTAATTATTTTATTTAAATACATTAAAGTGATTTATATAACTTAACCTAACTGTAACAAGTTTGCAAAACTGTTATTGATTTTATTAAATTAAGCCAGATCAAAGTTCGTATCATTTGCAAATTATCTTTATTTTTAAATATTGTTCAGTTATAATATAATAATACAGTAGGATGGGCTACTCAGTGGGTATCGAATCTTCCTCCCAAAAGGAATAGCATTCGTTGGCTCTTGGCTGTTCTGCCTCGGATCGCTACCCGGATGGTATTAATTAACGGTCTTTTCCTCTGATAAGAAACTTCAAATATCTCTCTTTGCTGAGCCGCAATCCCCGTTTCACGGATTTTCTCCTCATTGCATGAACCACAATTGTGCCGATGTTCTGGTGGTATATTTGTTTTGGATGTGGCTTCCGCAATCCTCTCACGTCTGCCTCCGATTTATTGAGTTGTCTTGCGATACAGTTTGCTTTTACTTCGATCGACACCTACTATGGTTGTTCTAACGGTGGCGGGGATACGATCATTTTAAGGGGAGGTACTGTACTGTATATTGGATTGAGCTACGATTTGCTGTCTGTAATTTGATATCTTTGTAAAAATTCTATTATTATTTTGTCTGTAATGGATATCTTTGTAGAATAATATTACAGTAAAGAGTCGATTATCCGAAACATCAATCATCCGAAAGAATTCCAGTCGGCAAATTTAAATTTTCGCTAGTGCTGTGGCGCTGCAATCTTTGGCCATGTCTTGGGCTATTCAAATATTTTACGTTTTTGATACTAAATTAACTTCTGAAGTATCATTTTTTATTGTTTTTATATTTTTCAATATACAGTAGAACCTCCATTAACCGGATTTTCGATTATCCGGATTGTTCAAAATAAACAAAAATTTTACTAATTTGCTGATTTGCAATTGGCGAATTACGACAGTTTATGTACGTGATGGAATGCATAACTTTTTTTGTTTCAACAACGTCTCATCCAGCACAGTGGTCGTAAACTCTTAAATATATTTTACGTAGTAATAAAAATATAACTTGACATACGTATTTATAAATAATTTATATTCAAATTATATCATTTCTATGACCAAGGGCGGCGTAAGGCATGGATGACGTGGGCCACCGCCTATGCCTCGCGGTTCGAAGGGCCTCGCGCCTCGAAGGTTTACGCATTACTTAAAAGCCGCGAACGCGACGAAAAAATTTTA